CTCGCTCACTCGCTCGCTCACTCGCTGAGTCACTCAGTCACACATTGGATCACTGACTCATTTGTTCACTTTTTACATATATTGCAGGGGCTGCGCCACAGGCGCGGGCAGTGCAGGTAGCACCTGGGAGTCAGCTGCAGGGATCGCGTGCTCGAGCCCTACTCGTCCTCCTCCCACCCCCTCCCTCGTGCCCCGAGGACTCCGCTGATGCTGATGATGCGCGCCGCTTTTGCGATAAAGACGCCAACTCAACAACCCGCACAGCATCGCCTTGCGCCTTATAGGCCGCTTCGGGCGCGCCGCTCATGATGCTCGCCGGATGCCCTCCTGGCCAAACGAGGTCCCGCGCGTACGCTGATACAGCCTCAGCATCCTGCTGTGCAGTCCCTCAGCTAGCCATGATTGAGCGCATCACGCAGAAGCTTAAGCTTTCCGAAGAGGATGTTGAAGCCCTGGCTTATCACATCAATTAGTCAGCCTTCCGCTCTTACTGTTGCTGTATCTGATCCATGGATTGAGTATGATTGAGTCCACGACTTTTTGCAGCTGCAGGCCACCGACGAATGCAAGTCCTTTGGTTTCCAGACATCTTTCAATGCCCCTTGCTGAGTGGGTCAGAAACAGTGGCTTCCAAAGATGAAGCAGAGTCAGCATCACAGCACGTTAACGAGCTTCGCGGCGGAAGAAGCTTGCAGGCTTGCTGGCTGGGATCGGATATTCAGACTCCACACAGGGCACTGTCAAAGGGGTCGCCCATGCCTGTTACGAAGTGCAGAGAGTGAGTCCTTTGGATGCAAACCTGGTGGCAGCTTCGTGGCTGGGCCCGCCAGATGCGTTGCCGCTCTCCCGAAATAAAAACCGCTGTCGACCTGCAGATAGAAAGCTCCCTGGTATTCTCCATTCGTTTCCAGGCGGAAAGAAGATTCCTGAGTGGCTTGGAGGCTCCCTCTTCAGAGACAGCAGGAACAGTCTGGGGTGCGGCTGATGCTGAGGCCAGCCCCGCCTGCACTGCATCGCCAAGCATTCGCTTTCCCGGCCGCTCAGCAGTCGATCAAGCCAACCCGTTTTGACGAATGAGCCTCCTTCCGCCCCCTCCCCCCCCTCCCCCGAGTCTCTATAATAAGTTGTCTTAGAAGGTGCTGCGCCGCCTGTCTCCGAGGTCGGACGGCCGGAGAGTCGGCCTCCACCTTCACCTCGGGCATGGCCCTGGCCCTCAATGCCCGATTGCAGACTCCCTTTTGCGGGGAATGCGCGCATATCGGAATCTTTCTGAGGTCCCTGTGCCCCTGCAATGCTGGCCGCACTACGCAGCAGCCCTCCCTCCGCGAGACTTCTTCTCTCCTTCTCTCGCTCAATCCCTTTCGCTCGCTCCTGCGCTCGCCAGACGGGGAAGCCGGCCTTGTGCAAGGGCTCCCTGATGCAGGTCCTCGAGGACCCAGAATCCAGAAAGAGAGCCGCGGGAGAGATTCGGCACATCCCCCAAGCCCCGGAGAAGAAGAGACGGGGAGTCGACCTGGTTTCATGCCGATTGCGTCGAGGGCCGCAGCAAGAGAGATGCCCGTGGCGGGGTTTAGCCATAGTCGACAGGCGCGTTGGGGGTGAGCTGGTCACGGAAGCCTTGCAGTCCAACATGAAGAACAACTCAGCTCCAACGTCCCCCTGCGCTCCTGGCGAACCCGCTGAACGCAGGATTCTGCCACGGGTTGGCCCGGAAACTGTCCGGAACCGGGAGCAGAGTCTGAAGAAGCCAAGCCCCTTTTTGGGACGGGAGCCTGGCGGACCGGAGGTCTGGGCCTGCATTTCATGCCGGACGAGACGCCCGGAGCCCCAGGGCCCAGAGCGGAATTCGTCGTCATCCGGCCGGCCCTGGGAGGTCCGAAACTTGTGAGACGCCCGGGCCTCGGAGAGATCTCCGAGGTCCGTGCTCTTCGTTGCCTGTGCTTTGCGCTCTTGAAGGAGTTGTCGCGGCAATGTCAGCTGCTCAACATTCCAAGTCGTCGAAACCGATGCCGGGATGCAGGGCCCTCAGCCTCTTCAGCCCTGGGGCACGCTGCATGTCTCCTGTAATCGGCATTGCCTGAGGCTGGAATGCTGGCAGGGCACAGGCTACGACTGTTTCCGAGACAATGCGCAGGCCCAGAAAGTAGAGAATGTAACAGAGTCGGCCGTGTGCACCCTTGGTTTCCAGGGCTGGCTAAGTGATTGCTCTGGGCCCCCTACCGACTGCTCGTGTCTTCTCTTCGGCATGAGTTCGTCTAATGAGGAGAAAATTCTGGCTTCCAAGCGCTTTCTGCGTGGCCGGTATCGCGTGGCTTGGCCAGCAGCAGGAATGCAGCCCAGCCTTGTCAGGAAGAGCCCCGCAAGGATGTATCATGCACTGGCTCTTTAGGTTCTGAAGGACTTGCGCGGCTTTGAGGCAGAACCAGCACGCGGCATGCGGCTAATTTTCCGACACCACCCACTGCATCTGCAGGTGACAGGGTTGCAGTATGCCTTCGACAAGGAAGCTTTTGGATCGGATGTGGAACAGGCCCGTGTTTTTTCAGCTTTTGCCGCTTGTCTGACGATTTCTGACCCAGGCTGTCATGATGTGCCGGGAGCCCACATCACTGGCATGTTGTGACGCACTTTGCTGCACTGTGGCTCAGGCAATCACACCTGCTTGTCTCTTGTGACGTGCCAAGCCTGGAGATATTCCACGGGGGACCAGCTTGCCGGCCAGATACCGCAAGCTGCTCACTTTGCTGGCCTTTACGGACGTGCAGGATGGATGCTGGTTTGATCACGGTGAGCTTGTTTATCCGTCGGAAGCCCTGGTTTAGAACCGTCGAGATCGCAGTGGACGTGCTTCGGACCCTCATATCCTTCGTTCAGCATGAGGCCAACCACTGATACCTTTCTGAAGGGCACAGAAGCAGCAGCACTGGCTGCTTCCTCTGCGCGACTTCTAGTGAACGTGTGAGTTTGCGACTTTGCCTGCAGCTACTTGCGCTTAGGTTGTGGCCGGGGCCTATGTCCAGCGGCTGTGCGAGGTTCCGCAGGAGAGTATCTCAAAGAGACTTTGTCGAAGTTCCGGGAATCCTGCACTCCCCAGGATCTGCACGAGCATGTGGTGTCGACGTCGGCCGCCATCGCCATCATCCCGACTCCAGAGGTCTCCCCCCAAAAAAGTACCTGATGAAGCAGAGATGCCCAAAGTGTGCCCGAGAATCCGAGGCCCTCAGCCTCTCCACGCCGCTGCCGCTGCCCGTGGCCGTTGCCATCAATGCTAGCGCTGGCACCCTCCCTCCGGCCACGGCCTCGCAAAGTTGCGGGGGGGAATTACGAGCCTCGGCTCTTTTCCTTGAAAAAAAATCGCATCTCAGGTGCTGCCACTGCCGGCCGCGGTGGTCAATGCGACCGCTGCGAGCGCTGCTACCGCTGCTACCGCTCCGCCAGACGCCCTCCTCGTCCCGGATGTCTCGGTCTCGACGATGTCCACGACGCCGCCTTCCACGACCGCGGCGAACGCCTCCGATGCCTCCTTCCTCCCGGCGGTCACGGTCAGCCATGTAAGCGCCAGAGCGAGCTCGAGCCGCCAGAGCTCCCAGGCCTCTCCCAAACACAAAAGCACTAGAGCACGTCATAGCACGTCTTCCCGTCGCAACAGGATACGGCGGAGCCGAAGGAGCCGTTTCCGGGCACCTTCCTGCGGGTTCTCTCGTCAGGACAGAGGGGGACGCGTCGGGGTGAGCACCCCGCGCCCGCGCGCGCGCCGCGAGGCTTGGTCTTCTACAAAAGTGCCCGGCGCTGAACCGGTATACTTGTTCTATGCTTGTTCACAGAGTCTTCTCGCATGCATAAGTGGCGCCACGGCCAGGAGGATGACGTGCCGGACACTCACGGCATGCTGTAACGAAGCTGGAGTGGCTGCGAAATACACCGAGGCTGCATATGGTTCCTTCGGGATGCAAGGAGCTCTCCTGCCCCAAGCTTAGCCAGGAGGGCACCGTCTCTGCAAGTGCTGAGAGTTCTCTTTGCCAGCCCGGAGGCGGCGAGAGCGTCCTGGATCACTGCCGTGCAGCTGCCTCCGTCTCCGAGGCCAGGCGAAGCAAGGCCAGGCGACTGCGTGTCCTGGCTTTCCGCCCTTGCGCCGCAGGAAGAGGTGATCAGCGACAGCACGGGCCAGGCTAGGCCAGAGTCCAAAGTCTGCCGATGTCTTGCCGAGCTTCTTCTGCTGGAGATCGCTACTCTAGCACGCGACCTGCTGCGAGGAATTCTCTTGCGCGCTTCTGACAGTAGAGAGCTCAAGCACTTTTTCCATCGTGCAGCCTGCAGCCTACTTCTCCTCACATTTTGCGAGACTTGAGTCCCGAGGCTTCTGGTCCGCGTCTCGAATCACAGAGACTTCCCCCTTGAGCGAGCTCCGCAGCGCTCGCACCGCAGAAGCTCAGGTGGGTCGCTGAAGTGGTGGGCCGGAGCCTTGGAAAAACGGGAGATGCCAAGGGCTTGGCCTTCAGAAAACACCAAGGTCCTGCTGATCTTTGCCGCAGTCCTCGCCCTCTGCTGCCAGAGCCCCAGGGCCCCGTCGCGAATTGTGACGGAAGAAGGCGGAAGAGGCGGAAGAAGGCGAAAGACCCCAGAGGTTCTCATGAGGAGGATAATTTGGTTCTTGGCGCATCGGCACTGCTTCGATGTTATGCATCACAGGCACGTCACAACATGCCGGGTAAACTACGACATCCTCAACGATGGTTCAACAAATTTCGGCCGTTAGTGCTCTCTTTTGGCAATGCCACGATAGTCCCATCTGATCACGGTTTCAATGAGTCGTGTAGAGGTCATGCGCAAGAGTGCGTAGGTCGGTATACACCACAAAGCCTGAAGCCTAGGTTGGGCCTGCAACCACGCGTCCTGGTACTACTACAACGAGATTGACGAAGTCTCAGTCGCGCTGGTTGAGATACTGAGCTGAAACGTTGCCTCGCCCTCGCCAGCAAGACTGTTGCGAGTGCCTTGAATCATCCGACGTTGAGCCTGCCAGGATCTCCTGCCCCATTGTGACATCACTGCTGCTTCTGCTGCTGCTTTCACACGACAACCGTCCAGAGCACTGCTTTGTCATCTTAGTCACTCGCCCGTCACCCCATTCAAGGTGGGGGTTCTTTTTGGATATTTTGTTGTTTATTTTGGTATTTTTTTTTGTGTTTTCGCCTGGATGGCTTGAAGCGTCGAGTCAGTCAGCCAGTCAGTCGATCTGCGAGCCCGCCGGTCAGTCAGGGATGCGTCGGTCGGTACGCGAGCGTGCCGGTCTATAAGTCGGTCCGTTGGTCCATGCGCAAAGCGCCGGGCAGTCAGTCAGTCGGACACTCGATCAGTCGGTCCGCCAGTGTTTGAGATTAATATGATGAACCGATATCGCCAAACGAGGGGTCGTGTTTAAGATATAGGATGAACGGGAATCGCCAAATGACGGGGCATGTCTAACATATGTGATGAACCGTTATCGCCAAATGAGGGGCGTGTGTAAGATAGTTGAGTAACCGTTATCGCCAAATTAGGGGGCGTGTTCAAGATATATGATGAGCAGGAATCACCAAATTTCGGGGCGGTGTGTTTAAGACACGTGGTGAACCGGACTCGCCACATTTGGGCGCACGTCCAAGACATATGGTGAGCCGGAATCGCCAAATGAGGGGCATGTTCAGCACGTATGATGAACCGTTGTCGCCCAATGAGGGGGCGGCATGTTTAAGATATAATATGATGAACCGTTGCCGCCAAATGATGGTGAACCGGAATCGCCAAATGAGGGGGTGCGTTTCAGATATAGGAAACCGAATCGCCATGAGGGGGGCATTTTTCATGTGTATGAGGAGCTGGAATCGCCAAAAGAGGGTGGCTTGCGTACAATATATGGTAAACCGGAATCGCCAAATGAGGAGGCGTGTTTAAGATATATCATGAACCGTTGTCGCCAAATGAGCGGGCGTGTTCAAGATATATATGATGAACCGGAATCACCAAATAAGGGGGCGGCCTGTTTTCAGATATGTGGTGAACTGGACTCGCCACACAAGGCGCGTGTCCAAGATAAAAACTATGGTGAGCCGAAATCACCAAAGGAAGGGGCATCTTTAAGATATAGGATGAACAAATCGCGGCGTGTTTAACATGTATGAGCAGCCGGAATCGCCGAAACACGGGGGTGTGTTTACAATATATGGTGAACCGGAACCGCCACGTGAGGGGGCGTGTTCAACATGTATGAATCCGTATGAATGAACCGTTGTCGCCAAATGAGGGGTCTGCATGTTTAAGATATATGATGAACCGTTATCGCCAAATGAGGGGGCGTGTTTAAGATATATTATGAACCGGAATCGCCAAATGAGGGGGCGTGCTTAGGATATATGATGAACCGGAATCGACACATGAGGGGGCGTGTGTAACACATATGCTGAACCGAGTTGTTCGACGAACCGCCAGTCCCCTTGGCATT